CTGGAAAGTGTTTTAATTTGGTGGAATGAGTTCTTTCCGTTGGTGTTTTGGGTGTTCTTTTGCATATTTGCAAAGGATTAAGTGGTATTCTTAGTTCTTTGGAAAAAATAAAGTCATTTTATGTCATGTTTCTGTAACCCCTTCTACAGGGATTACAGATATCCATGTATCATTTGACATCTATGAACCATAGGTCGCACATGTGGAGGAGTTTGATGAGTCTTTCTCCACATTTTCCTGTCCTTGGATGACCTCATGTATTTGTGTTAATACTTTTTCCTCTTTCAGGTGATGCTATTCATTCATGACTCACTTGCTCGACCCTGTGGTCAGCTGTTGCTAAAACACTCTCTCTCACCATTTCGGATTTGTTTTTACGGCCATGCTTCACTTTGAGTTTAGAATGCTGTGCCGATCATGCATGCTGATTTTTAGCAGTTTTGAGCACTGCTCCACATATTCCTGTGCTGAATAATTAAACCGTCATGTGCAATAACTCATCCATAGAAAATTCAGTGACTGGTTTAGTTTGGATGTACGGTCGACTCCAAAATTTTAGGCTTTCGTACGATACCAGCTCTGATACTCCGGTATCGATACTAAATCAGACTGCCATTTAGCTGGGATAGGAGTGTTTTAACATTGGAAAAAATGACACATCGCCTTTAAAGGCATAGTTCACCCAAAAAGGAAAACTCTTTCAATAATTACTCACCCTCATGCCGTTCCAAACCTGTAAGGCCTTCGTTCATCTTTGGAACACAAATTAAGATATTTTTGAAGAATTCCGAGAGCTCTCAGACCCTCCATAGACAGCAAGGATCCTTACACGATCAAGGTCCAGAAAGGTAGTAAGGACATCGTTAAAATAATCCATGTGACATCAGTGGTTCAACCGTAATTTTACGAAGCTATATTGTTTACGCTTTGATCTGAACGTAAACAACGTATTGCATATGGTTTACGTATGTGATACTCTCCAAAATGGCGCTATAGGGTGACGTGGAGGAGACGAATTGTTGAATAAAGTCGTTATTTTTGTTTTCTTTGCTCTCAGAATTCATCAAAATATCTTAATTTGTGTTCCTAAGATGAACAAAGGTATTCAAGTGGTTCAACCTTAATTTTATGAAGCTACGAGAATACTTTTTGTGCAACAATTTCTTTTCTTCCGTGCATGCGCCGTGGTACTCTCATGAACGCATGTCAAAGACTGACACGGAAGAGAAGAAATTTTTGAATAAAGTCATTATTTTTGCACAAAAAGTATTCTTGTTGTGTCATAAAATTATGGTTGAACCACTGATGTCACATGGATTATTTTAACAATCTCCTTAAAACCTTCCTGGGCCTTGAACATGGTAGTTGCATTGCTGTCTAGACAGAGTCAGAAAGCTCTCAGATTTAATTAAAAAAGATCTTAATTTGTGTTACGAAGATGAATGAAAGTCTTACGGGTTGGGAACATGAGGCTAAGAAATTAATGACAATTTTCATTTTTGGGTGAACTATCCCTTTAACTTTGCTTTTATGCTTCACGTCACACCGCCTGAATATCCGAACTGTGCTGAATATCAGCACATTGTTATCAGGTAACAAAATTTGTGAAATATTGGTATCATACCATTTTTAAATCAGTGGTACTTTTTGAAATTAATATTTTTTTATATCATGTAACCCTTTTTGTTAGAATAATTCCTCTGCAAATTTCCAAATCTGTTTGCATATGTTTCATTTTGTGTGTTAAAATAATTTTTTTCTCTTTTCCCATCATCTTTCATTTCCTCTCTCAATCTTCATTCGCTCTCAGCCTGTGCGTCTGACTCCTCAGAGGGAGTTCATTAAGTCTCTCATGGGGATCGGGAAGAGACTGGCCACTCTGCCCACTAAAGAACAGAAGACCCAGAGGCTCATCTCAGAGCTGTCCCTACTCAACCACAAGCTGCCTGCCCGGGTCTGGCTGCCCACAGCTGCTTTTGACCATCATGTGGTGCGTGTACCCCACACGCAGGCCGTTGTGCTCAACTCGAAGGATAAGGTAAGGTTGTGCTGAGATAAGAATTTTAACTTTTGAAGTTTAAAAATGATTCAGTTTCTTTGTTCTACTAGGCTTTGAAAGACTCCTCCTTTCCTAATTTCATGTCTAAAGATTGTTAAACTGTGCTTTTTCAGGCACCTTACTTAATCTACGTAGAAGTTCTGGAATGTGAGAACTTTGAAACGTCAAGTGTGCCGGTGAGAATCCCAGAAACCCGGATCCGCAGCACGCGATCCGTAGAGAATCTTCCCGATTGTGGCATTTCACCTGACCAGCGTGCAAGCAGCTTCTCCACGGTTCCCAATTACGACAACGATGATGAGGCGTGGTCTGTAGATGACATCGGAGAGCTGCAAGTGGAGGTACTCGCACAGAGTGACTATAAGGGCAACATCTACAAATTTGCTGTTGTTTGAGAACTGACCTTTATTTTTTTGGTCCTTAAGCTTCCAGAGATCCACACCAACAGTTGTGACAACATTTCCCAGTTCTCAGTAGATAGCATCACCAGCCAGGAGAGCAAGGAACCTATTTTTATTGCAGCTGGAGATATCAGGTACACCTGGAGATAATGCATCAATACTTCCAAACAGTGAGAAATACAATACTAATTTTATTTAACTGGAATGTTTTTGTTATCTCAGACGACGCCTATCTGAGCAACTTGCCCACACCCCTACCACATTTAAGAGGGACCCAGAGGATCCCTCAGCTGTAGCCTTAAAGGAACCGTGGCAGGAGAAAGTGAGGTATGTGCATGACATTCTCCACCAAGGATGGTTGGTTCATTGGTTTGTTGAGTCTGATTTAATCATTCCTGTGTCGTTAAATAGACGGATCAGGGAAGGCTCCCCCTATGGCCACCTGCCCAACTGGCGTCTACTGTCTGTTATTGTGAAATGTGGCGATGACCTGAGACAGGAGCTTCTCGCCTATCAAGTGCTGAAACAACTGCAGGTGGCACTCTTGATATTTTGTCTTTCAAAATGGGGTTAAATCTAGGGATGCATAATATATGAGTACCAAAGTGGCTATTGGCCAGTATTGTATATTTCATTGTGCTTGCTCATTTCCCCTATTTTGTACATAATTCAATTTTTCACACTGTTCATTATAATGTTATGATGCCAAAATCACTTGTAGACTTTATAGTGATTCATTTTAGGTTTTAGTGTATTGATTTTTAATTTATTTATCAGCTTTGTAAAAATTTAGCAGTTTAGCATTATTTTAATGTTGGTTCATCCTTAGTTGTATCACATCGTCATTTTAAATCTATATTAACTTACAGGATATTATGTTTTAAAAATAATAATGTACATTACCATTGAAAAGTTTGGGGTCTGTAAGATTTTTAAAATGTTTTTGAAAGAAGTTTCTTATGCTCAAAGAAGCTACATTTATTGCAGCAGTCATTCCTCCAGTCTTCAGTGTCAAGTGATCCTTCAGAAATCATGGTCATATGCTGATTTGGTTGTCAAGAAGCATTTCTTATTACTATCAATGTTGAAAACTTTGTTGCAGTGTTGCTTAATATAATTGTGGAAACTGCTATTTTCTTTTCAGGATTCTTAGTTGATTAGAAAGTTCAAAATAACAGCATTTATTTGGAATAGAAATCTTCATAAATTAATGTCTTTACTGTAACTCACTTTTGATCAGTGCATCCTTGCTGAATAAAGTTATTATATATAAATCTTACTGACCCCAAACTTTTGAACAGTAGTTTACAAAGTGTTTATTGAAGTGTGGTCTGCCTAGGCATTGTTGCTAATACTGGATCTTCTCACCATCCTTGTTGTCTTCTAGATTATCTGGGAGCAAGAACGGGTTCCCTTGTGGATCAAGCCCTACAAGATACTGGTCATCTCCTCAGACAGTGGCATGATTGAGCCAGTGGTCAATGCTGTGTCCATTCACCAGGTGAAGAAACAGAGTCAGCTTTCATTGCTCGACTACTTCCGGCAAGAGCATGGGAACTACAATACAGAGGAATTCCTTACCGCTCAGCGCAACTTTGTTCAGAGCTGCGCTGGCTACTGTCTCATCTGCTATCTGCTGCAGGTCAAGGACAGGTGAGAGAGACAATGCTTGAATCATGTCGGAAAATAGATCATTTGGATAAGTTGTAACCACCCTTTTGTCGTCTTGTTTTTTAGGCACAATGGAAATATCCTGCTAGACTCTGAGGGCCACATCATTCACATCGACTTTGGCTTCATCCTTTCCAGCTCTCCACGTAACCTGGGCTTCGAGACATCTGCCTTCAAACTAACCAGTGAATTTGTCGATGTAAGCACTGCTGTGTTTTTTATTGGATGAAGTCATCATCGAATGTGGAGAAGGATTTAAAAAGATTGATCAGCTTCTCAGTTAAAATCTGTGCATCTCTTTTAGGTAATGGGAGGACTTGATGGAGACATGTTCAATTATTATAAGATGCTTATGCTCCAAGGCCTCATCGCTGCTCGCAAGCACATGGAGAAGGTCGTCCAGATCGTAGAAATCATGCAGCAAGGTATTGTTCATCTGAAGCTTCAGGGGTGGAGCATCTTTGTCTTTCTATATTAATTTGAGGACATGTTATATCATTCCAATTTTTCTTATAAAGTGGTTTATATGTTCTGCAGGTTCTCAGCTTCCCTGCTTCCACGGCTCCAGCACCATCCGTAACCTGAAGGAGCGTTTCCACATGAACCTGACGGAGGAGCAGCTGCAGGTGTTGGTGGAGCAGATGGTGGACGGCTCCATGCGTTCCATCACTACCAAGCTGTACGACGGCTTTCAGTATCTCACCAACGGCATCATGTGAGCGGTGGCTGGGGTGCACACGGACTACAGCGCTAAAACTGGAAAAAAGGCTGCACCACTTTGAAAACCACTCCTAACGCCCGTTTCCAATAACCACCCATCAAGACTGATTATCTTTAAAGATGGATTTGTGTTCTTTTTTTTGTTTTTACCCTGACTGAAGAGGTCTTGAGCTGTGAAGTAACTGCTTGTCGTCTTTTTTTTAACAGCTTTTCCTTTCGTTTTCGTTCCTTTCGTTTCCCTTTTTTTGTCACATCACCTTGCAAAACTCTGGATGCCCAGAGTTGAATTGTATCCTGCTTTCCAGTGCCTCATTTAAACACTACGTTGCTCTGTGACTTACCTGTGTACTGACTGACTTCAACACCCCATATTATCATCATCAGCTTTTTTTGTTGCTATGCCACTAAAGATACATACTTTGGATGAATAACATTCAGAATTTCAACACACACTCACACAGTGGGGCGGAAAACAGGAGATGCTGTATCAAAGCCTGTAAATTGCATTGTGAAATGAGGGAATCGGGTGGTAAACATTGCTGTATTGTTCAGCTTTGTGGAGTCAGTGTTACATGAACTGTTTAAAAGAGATCTTCAGCTCAGCGCCGCACAAGTCAGAGACCATTAAGCCATGAAACGTTTGCTTAAAGTGCTCTCATTTGACCCTGTGAGAAGCGCTTGAGCCATAATGGGGTTAATGAAGCTTTTTAATTCAATATGGATGTGTTAAATGTCAAAACACCAAAGACACAAACCAGTGACTAATCATATGAGAGTTTTAACCTTGAATTGATAGTTTTTACCCTGACTGAAGAGGTCTTGAGCTGTGAAGTAACTGCTTGTCGTCTTTTTTTTAACAGCTTTTCCTTTCGTTTTCGTTCCTTTCGTTTCCCTTTTTTGTCACGTCACCTTGCAAAACTCTGGATGCCCAGAGTTGAATTGTATCCTGCTTTCCAGTGCCTCATTTAAACACTACGTTGCTCTGTGACTTACCTGTGTACTGACTGACTTCAACACGCCATATTATCATCATCAGCTTTTTTCGTTGCTATGCCACTAAAGATACATACTTTGGATGAATAACATTCAGAATTTCAACACACACTCACACAGTGGGGCGGAAAACAGGAGATGCTGTATCAAAGCCTGTAAATTGCATTGTGAAATGAGGGAATCGGGTGGTAAACATTGCTGTATTGTTCAGCTTTGTGGAGTCAGTGTTACATGAACTGTTTAAAAGAGATCTTCAGCTCAGCGCCGCACAAGTCAGAGACCATTAAGCCATGAAACGTTTGCTTAAAGTGCTCTCATTTGACCCTGTGAGAAGCGCTTGAGCCATAATGGGGTTAATGAAGCTTTTTAATTCAATATGGATGTGTTAAATGTCAAAACACCAAAGACACAAACCAGTGACTAATCATATGAGAGTTTTAACCTTGAATTGATAAAGACGACGACGTAAAATAATTAGGACTTAATTAAAATAACCTGGTTTGTTTTCTAGGTCAAATTAAATGTATAAAGAAACTATTTTGAGTTTCCAAAGGTCTTGATTGGAATATGGTGGACTGAGAGATATGAACACTATTTATTGCCCTTTTACAGATATTTCATATGCTTACATGACACTTATGAAATGACACTTTCTCAACATTCTCTGTGGATTTCATTTCATTTTGTTGTTTTGTTTGGCACACGTTATAATCCAAGTTGTGCTAGTTTGTACAGCTAACCTGAATTTATAATGTGCATTCTTACAGCTGATCTCAATCTGAGGTGGGCAGCCATGTTTAAATGTGTGACTGAGCCACTTACATTGTTTGTTAGTTTTTTTTTTAAACAGAGAAGAGTTGTTCAGAATCTGTTGCACAGGAGAATTGGAAAGGGCTATGAAAAAGCGAGAGAAATCAACACATTATGTCTTTGTTTTTATTTCCTACACATGTACAGGTGTAAAATTCCCTGCCTAAAATTTCTAATTTTTTTTAATTATAATTTTTCTTTATTTTCATAGAAATTGGGCGTGTGTTGAGCCTCGTCTTATTTCCCTGTGACATCAGAGCTTCTCTTAATAGTTTTAATTCATTCTCTTAGCGGGAGCCACAATTTCCTTTAATTTGTTTGCCTGTGCGAGGGCAGTTTAGACCAGTGGTTCCCAACCCTGGTCCTGGAGGCACCCCAACACTGCACATTTTGCATGTCTCCTTTCTCTGACACACCAGTTTCAGGTCTTTGAGTCTCTACTAATGAGCTGATGACCTGAATCAAAACGTGCAGTGTTGAGGTGCCTCTAGGACCAGTGTTGGGAACCACTGGTTTAGACGATGTGTAATTATAATTTTTCTTTATTTTCATAGAAATTGGGCGTGTGTTGAGCCTCGTCTTATTTCCCTGTGACATCAGAGCTTCTCTTAATAGTTTTAATTCATTCTCTTAGTGGGAGCCACAATTTCCTTTAATTTGTTTGCCTGTGCGAGGGCAGTTTAGACCAGTGGTTCCCAACCCTGGTCCTGGAGGCACCCCAACACTGCACATTTTGCATGTCTCCTTTCTCTGACACACCAGTTTCAGGTCTTTGAGTCTCTACTAATGAGCTGATGACCTGAATCAAAACGTGCAGTGTTGAGGTGCCTCTAGGACCAGTGTTGGGAACCACTGGTTTAGACGATGTGTACGTTTTCAACAAGCTTATCTTTTCTCTTTACTATTTTATACTAATATTGTTTCTACGTCAGACTTTCCTTTGAAACGTGTAAAACGGACCAGCTCTTAAGATCATGTGAATAACCTTCCTTGTGAATGTCCCTTTGTATAATAAATTAAATGTTCCTGTTACACAAATTGTATATATTTTTTAAAAAAGTCTTTCGAGATCCTGTGATTGATATTTTTATTAAATTTTTTGGGTGCAAATATGAATATCACAATCCTACATACCACTATTGAAATTCTAGTGTAGTGTATGTCTGGGCAGATCCCTTACAAAAATATAATAAATGTAAAAAGAATGATAAATAGTAGTATTTCGTACAATAATAATACATTTTCAAAACGCTGCATTTATTACATTTTACTACTGCAAAATACATTTTGTTTTGTACTAGCAATAACTAGTTATTTTAGTGAAAACTATGGTTAACCGTGGATGTTAAAATAAAAAGTAAATTAAAAACGTCTGCTGGTTTGAAGGAGAATGGATATCAGGAAAAAAAAGACTTGCACCGAGTAGGGTAGTTAGAAATTGTATAAATAACATTTTATTTCTACGTTTGTAAATAACTAATAATTGTAAATGATTGTGAGGCACTTAAATGGTTTCACCTCACTAGCTCCAGGCCTCCAGCCCTGGCCCAGAGGCTGATTTTCCTGTGTTTGTAGTGTGCTGTGATTACCTGTGGCGCAGGTAAATCCGCTCAGGATCGTGGGGTGGCGCCGTTATGTGCAAGTATCTGCGATTCCTTCCGCAACAGAAAGAAGGAAAAACTCCAGTACCTGCCTACACTTGCCGATGCATGGACAACACCCGTAAAACCAATTATTTAATCGTTTCACAAGTGTTTCCGATACGTGAAACACTATATCCAGAGTCGTTTACGCTTTTGGATAGAAATAAGAAATCGTGTCTAAGGTTATAGGTGGAATATCAAATGGACGACTAGTTAAATCCTGGAGTTTCACCTGAAACTTGCAAGATTTCCTCGAAGAGTCCACACGGGACTGAAAGTTACCCAGGGTGTGAATACAGGAAGTACCTTGAATTCATCATGGTAAGTGCTTTTAAAACCAAACATAACTTATTAAAAGCATTTTAAGTTGAGTTAAGAGATTAAGCGCTGCAGCTGGCTCTGTGTCTACTACTATAGAAGTTGCATTTTAACTGTCGACAAAACAAAAAATCATACATCGAAATTTTAACATTTTCTCCATTATTTTCCTGTCTAGCAAAGTAAATACCAAATCATTAGTATGGCCTGAAGAAATAGTCCAGGGATAACTTATGAAATACATAGATATTTAGGTGTACAATGTTTTGCCTGCCAAAAACTCCATCAAACTCGGATTTGGGGACATTATATAAAGAAGAAAACTGACAAGAAAATGTGAAGCACAGTAACTTTAGAAATTCCTAGAATACACGAGAGGACAAGGGAAATCTGTCCAGTTTATTTGTGCAATTCTGTTGAATGTCAGTGAGAGCACAATAATAATAATAATAATTTGAATTTTGAAAGTCATTTTTCCCTTCTATTTAGGATCTGGGAGGGGAGCCCAATTTTTCCTCAGAATTATTGTTAATGGCTTGTGCAAGGAGGATATACTCTTATTATATTTATCACAGATTTAATTGGCCATACTTAATTCTTATTCTCCCGACTAAGTATTTGCCTTTGTTTGTGGCTTGAGGGAAAGAAATATGGCTCACGTTTCTTTGTTTTGTTGTATAGCTGCACTGCATATGGTATATGACTTAATGACATGCTCATGAAGCTGTATAGCTTTAAAGTACAGGAGTAGTTTCGTTGTTGTAATAGTCCTGTCTTGTCAAAGTGTCAGAGGTTTTAACGCTTCATAAGTGCTCATAACAGAAAGTATTTTATAAATGTCATTTCCTCCTCAGTGCAGCGTTGCTGGCTTAGTCAGTATATTCTTACACTTATTAACCCTTTAATTAACTTGTTAACTTATTAATTCTGCTCAACACCAGCTCTCTTGTCTAATGCAGTCCCGCCAAATGCATAAAGTAGCAAAATGCATTGAAATAATCTTTATGTAACCCAACAGTATGTCAGCATTCAATCGCAGGTGACCGTATGAATAATCTTTCTCTCTTGCACAGGGGAGCAAAGAGAAATATCACTGGCAGACCCAGAATGTGAAGGTCAGTGGTGTGGACGACATGGTCCTCCTCTCCAAGATCAGTGAAGATGGCATCACAGATAACCTGAAGAAAAGATACATGGATGACTTCATTTTTGTATCCTTAAGTTTGTAATAAACAATAATTATTTGGTCTGGCATACTTAAATATACACTATAGTTGAAGTTGAAAAGTTTAGGGTCAGTCACTTTTTTTATTCAGAAATGAATGTTTTTATTCAGAAATGACACATTACAGGGATCAAAAGAGACCGTAAAGACATTTCTAATGTTATGAAAGATTTGTATTTCAAAAAATGTTGTTTTCAACTTTTTATCTGCCAAAGAATTTTTTGTTTCCACAGAAATATTAAGCAGCACCATTTTCAACTTTGGTAATAATCGAAGTGTTTCTTGATAAACATCAATCATAATAGAATGATTTTTGAAGTATCATGTGAAACTGAAGACTGGCATCGCAGGAATAAAATTCATTTATTTTTGCCATAACCACAACTCTTCAGACATACATTGGCCCTGTGCTGATATCAGTGAACCCTTTTAAACAGCTGCCATATTTCACAGATCGTGAGATTGAACTGTATCAGGGAGCCGTAAGTACAATATGCATTTTCTATTAGTGTCCGGTAAATAGTTCTGTACTGTACCGTGCTCTAATTACATGGATACTAAATGGAATTAAAGTTCAGATGAATAATCATTCCCGCAGGATAAGTCATTTAGATGTGGCCAGGCAGAGTAGAGCAAGAGCAATGCCACTGCATGTCCAGACTTGCCATTTTGCTCGCAAAGACTGTCTATAAATCTGTATTTGTTAACGTCTTCCCCAGGATGGTCAAATCAGAGTGCATATGCAAATCAGGATGTGTTACTGGTTACGGAATAATGCCTCTACCTCAATGTCATGCAAATGTGACTTTTAACCCTGTAATGTGTGTGTATTCTGTCATTTGCAGGCGCAGTATGAGAATCCCCCCCACATCTACGCTCTGGCCGACAATATGTACCGCAACATGATGATTGACTCCGAGAACCAGTGTGTCATTATCAGGTCAGGGATCAAGGATCTGGTGCCCGCACCCTGAGGCACCTTTAAAGTAGTGTATGGCATCAAAGGTTTGCATTATATGTGATCTGAATGTGTTTGTAATACAGCGGAGAGAGTGGAGCTGGAAAGACAGTGGCAGCCAAGTACATTATGAGCTACATCTCCAAAGTCTCAGGAGGTGGACCTAAAGTTCAGGTGAGGTTATCATCTGCTAGATCAGGGGTTCCTAAACTGGGGTTTGGGAAGGAACTTCAGGAGGGTTTGACAAAAAGCTAATAATGAATTTAAATATATTCATTAATTAATAATTCTATATAATCAGAATATATAAATAATATAATTTATTGCATTTCTAATAAGTTAATTATATTAATTAAACTAATATTAAGTATTGCATTAAATATAATATTTAATAACATTTTATATAAAATAAAAACAATCAAAATAAATGACTAAAAAAGGATGAAATATTTCATTTGTTGACTTTGATGATAAGTGACCATTAACCAAACATCAGAAAACGGTGAACATGCAAATTTGTCGCTTTAATTATTGA